TTGGAGCATATGGAGCAAGAGGAGGCCTCGGTAGCAGCCTGTATATGTCTCAGCTTCCACGTCTCATGGCACAGAACCGAAAGCCATAGAGAGGTTCATTTCTAGGGGCCCAGCATAGTGCCAAGGGTCCTAAAAACAACCCTTGGGTAATCCTTTCCATTAGGGTGTTACAGCTCCTGGGTACTGGTAAAAGAACTGTGGCTCAGAGTGACCATGTTGGTAGACAAAGGTTTCTTACAGAGCCAGGATCTGAATCTAGTCCCATGTGACTCCAAAACCCAAACCTTTGAAAACCAGGATGGCCTAAGTGAAGTAGAGGGAGGCTGTAACCCAGCTAGTATGCCCTCCCTGTTCTGCTGTTAGTACCCTCAAACCACGCCTTCCTCAAGGGATGGCTTTCACTTCTTTTACACTGGCAGATGATCATTTCTGCCTCCCCTGCTGGCTATGAAAGGGTATTTGGTGGGTTTGAGCAGACAAGGAAGGACACAGTCTCCTGGTTCCATCCTCATGAAATGGTATGCAGGGTCGGGTACCTGTGACCCTGGGAGTGGCACTGACCAACAAGCTCTGTCAAAATCATCCCTCTGTGGCTTTCTCTTTTCCTGGCCTTTTCTCCTGCTGTTATAGCCACGTCTCAGCTGTCTCCATCTGCAGAGTCCCCTGGAATATGACTCAGACCCATATGAGCACCTGTGCCAGGGCATCAGTGAGGTGTGCAGACCGGGCAGGGCTGCAGTGGTTAACACTGGTGTGAGTTTGCTGATGAAGGGGCTGGGATGAGGCAAGGCTTAACTCAGGGGTAAAGATGCAGAATTCCATTACTTACTGGAAATAGCAAAGGTGTATCCTTTGGGAAAGGCTTGGAGGCCGTTTCTCTCCCACCATCCCCATCTTCCTCTCAGGAGACAGCAGTGGAAGTTGGTAGGGATTACTCACTCCTGCTAATTCATTACTAATTGAAACAAAGGGAGACGGGTCTTCTCTGAATCAATGCTCAGAAACTAAAGTATACCAACTCAGATTCCGCTGTCCTTCTTTCCTATACCATGCTTCTCTTGGGCCCCTCTTCACCCATGGCCTTTTCTCCTTGGCTTCTGGCATTTCTTCCATTTAAAGTCAGTGACAACTCAACTTCAGTGGGAGTCTCTGATGTGGTCCCTTCTCACATGTCTACTTCCCTGGCCTGACCTTAAGTTCAACCCTCGTAGTTTTCCCTTACTCCTCTGCTAGACGCCACTCTCGTCACAAGCATGTACCAAGCTTTCAAGGTACCTCTGCTCAAAAGTCATCAATAGGGTGCAGGGATTGAGGAAGCAACTTTGAACTAGACAGTATGTCATTTCTGGAGAGTGACTAGTCCGAGGGGTCTGGAGTTTACAGGTAGACATGTCCAACAGACAGTAGAATGCTAAACCAGAGTGTAGAGTTCTGGGGGAAGTTCTCAAAGAGGAACCAAGAATTGACAGCCATGGGATTGTCAGGAGAATGTACTGAAAAAGAGTGTATCCAGAAGAGGACCTCAGGTGATTTTAGGAGCATTAACTTTCAAGGGCTGATCTAAAGCATTATGTATTAGATTGGTTCTTTCCTGAGTCCAGCCTGACTCAGGGAATATTCCAAGATGCCGTGTGTTGGTGTCTTGTATGTGTGAGCAATGATCAAACTGTCTAGTCCTATTATCTTCGCTGCTATCACCTCCACCAGCACCTCCACTTTACTCTCACCGTCGTCATCACCATTACCTTCTACCAGCACTTTCACCATCAGCAACAGCAACACTGACACCATCTCTATCACCTTTACCCCATCTTTACTAATATTTTCTGTCCCGGTTAGCATCAGCTATCTACACAGCCTATAAGCATCCCCCACCCCTTAAAAACAGTCTCAGTTGAGTCTTTATGGAGGTGATTTGTGGGCATGTCTGCGAGGGATTGTCTTGATTGTGAATTAATACAGGAGAGCTCAGTACACTGTGGCAGTACCATTCCCTGGACAGGTGGTCCTGGGCTGTATAAGGGAGCTATCTCCATGACAATGAGTCTGAGCAAGCCAGAGAGCAATGTTCCTCTTGGCTTCTGCTTCAAATTCCTATTTGAGTTTCTGCCCTGACTTCCTTCAATGATAGGTTGTAACCTGTAAGGTTAAATAAAGCCTTTCCTTCCCTCAATTGCTTTTGGTCAGAGTGTTTTATCACAGCAACAGAAAGGAAATCAGAGCACCCACTTATCATCTCTTTCACCATTACGTTATTTTCACCAACATGTTCACTTGGTCAGCACCAGCATCTCCACCGTCGCTAATACTGTCTTAGTTAACATTTCTGTTGCTGTGATCAAACACCACAAGCAAAGGCAACCTGGGGAAGAAAGAGTTAAATTTGCATTACACTTCCAGGTAACAGTAAGGGCAAGAAGACAAGGAGGGCACAGACCGGAAGGCAGGAGCTGACGCAGAGGCCATAGAGGAACATTACTTATTGGCCTATTCTTTATGGCTTTCTCAGTCTGCTTCCTTATAACCCAAGACTGCCAGCTCAGGAGTGGCACTGCCCACAGTGGTCTGGGCCTTCCCACAGCAACTGCCAATTAAGAAAATGTACTACAGGCTTGCCCACAGACCAATCTGGTGGGGTCATTTTCTCAATGAAGATTTCCTTTTCTAAAAATCACTCTATCATGTCTCAAGTTGACATAAATCTAGCCAGAAGAAACACCATCAACTCCTCCAATATTTTGACTTTTATTGCCATTTTCACCTTCAGTGTCACATTTGCCTCCACCTTCACCAGCACCAGCCCCTTTAACATCATCTTCTCCAACGTTCTTACCTTTATGGCCACTTTTGCTTTCATCACCACCTTTACCTCCTCATCTCATCCAAGTTCTGTGTTTGCTTTTCCCTTTCTGATTCTCCATCACACAGACATGGTCAGAGCCAGAACATGCCATTCAGCCCAGGAATTACACATGGTCAGAGACATTCAGCCCAGGAATTACGGTCCATGTTGCCCACCAGTTTCTGCTTCAGGAACTCTTTCGAAACACACATTTAGGACTTGACTCCCACGGATTTTGATTCTATGGATCTAGACTTGGGCCTTAGACTCCATTCCAAAGACACCCCCATGCCCTCTATCCTCTGCTTTTACCCAAAGTTGGCTTAAGGATCAGTGATTTAGGTGAGTTACCTCACAACTGAGAAAACTAAGGGCTCAAGAGAAGGGGATAGCTATGTAGAGTGAGAACCACGTTCAAATACCACTGACTCCACACATCTCAAGTGACAAGCCCCTATGCTCCAAAAGTTACCGGCAGGAACCTCGCTGGGCACCCAGGTTCCCCATCTATGGACCTCAGTTTCTCCATGTTGGGAAAGAAACTGGGACAAAATCATTCCCAAAGCCTATTTATCACAAACTATTTATCATTCAAGCTCATGAAAGAAAACTCATGAGATGCTTTCTGGGAGGCAGGCCTGGAAGGGTGCCTCTGGATTCTGGCAGGGTTTATTTTGCTTCTGGGGAGGAGGGGGCTAATTGTTGGGGCTCAGAGGCAGGTAGTAGTTTCTGGAGGGGTCTGGGGTGCTGAGGGCTATGACCTTCTGGACTCAGAGGCCATGAAGAGGACATACAGTGAGTTCTGGACTCTGTCACAGAAGCCTCAAGTTGGCCTCACCAAGGCTCTGTGCTAGCAGCTAGAAAATCCCACGGGTTGGAAAGAGGGCCCAGCAGAGAGGTAGGCTCAGTTTTGGAGGGAAGTGGAGATGAAGGTGCAGTCCCAGCTGCTCTTCTCAGACACCAGCCCTTCAGCTAAGAGAATAACTTTCACAGGGTTTGAAACATGACAACTCACCACTCTTCCATGGAAGAAAGCATGGCCCAAAGGAAACTTCCAAGCACTGCTTAAGGATGTGGCACTTGTGGGACTTAGGACCTCTTCATGCAGCCACTGCAGTCCCAGGAAGGTTCAGCCTGGAGCTGAGGACACCATCAAATTCCTCTTCCACCTTGCTTTGTGATGCACATCTATTTCTGTCAGGCATGGAACTCACATTTACTCAGCACACACAGGACAAGGCATGTGAGGCTAGGTGGGAGACAGTGACAAATAATAACCTTTGGCATTTCTCCAAGGTCTTGAGCATCCATCCAGAGGGGGACAAGACCAGCCATAAATATTCTTGTAAGAGGTCAAGGTAGCCCAGATAAAAAGCTTGGGAAGATGGAACGAGGATATTCGTTCAATTAGGTGGTTAGAGGACTGTGTCTTCCTGGAGATAGGAGAGCTGGGCCTTGGAGGATGGAGATTGGGAACTGTGGGCAGGTCAGGAGAAGCAGAGTATCCCAACTGAGAGCTCACTGGTGTCACTGAGAATGGTCCAGATTGAATAGAGGATGGCTTTCAGTTCACTCAGGGCTCAGGAGGAAGACCAAGCAACAGTCCGTGGCATACTGTGATCTGGCTAGGGAGCAACACAAGGTACCAGTGGCCCTTGATGCTTGTGTTATGCAGGGTCTTGCATGGGGCATGACATTCCCCATGGTTTTAGTGGGATCCTTGTGATGACAGATGTAGTTCATTAGAGTGCTTGCCTAGTGTGCACAAAGCCTTGGTTTCAACACCCAGCACAGCATAAAAACCAAGCGTGGTGACACAGGCCTGTGAGCTCAGCACAAAGTAGAGGTGGAAGAATCCAAAGTTCAAGGTCATCCTCAGCTTCACAGTGAGTTTGAAGCCAACTTGGGAGACATGGGACAGGGTCTCAAAAAAAAAAAAAAAATCTGGTAAATCTGGGAATGGCTAGAATTTTCAGACTGTTTCCCAGGTGTGTAATATGGTATGGTACCTGATAGCATTTCACCCTCATAAGCATCCAGTGAAATAAGTGTTTCCACGAGGAGGCAGTCCCCGCTGCCCCCAGAGGCCCTGGATGGAAGGCTGGGCAGGCACCTGGGTCACGTGCAGAGGCCTCACGGGCTGTCATCTGTTACCCAGGTGTTCGTGCTTTGCCATGGCCTCCTGCAGCTCTGCCAGCTTCTCTACAGTGCCTACTTCAAGAGCAGCCTCACCACGATCGAGAAGCGCTTTGGGCTCTCCAGTTCTTCCTCAGGTCTCATTTCCAGCTTGAACGAGGTGAGTAGGAGGCTCTTTATTAAAAAAAAAAATTTAAATTAGATTACTTTATTTTATGCATTTTGCCTGCATGTATACATATGTGTATCATGTGCATGTTTGGTACCCAAGGAGGCTAGGAGAGGGCATTAGATCCCCTGGAACTGGAGATACGGATGGTTGTGAAGCACTGTGCAGGTGCTGGGAATTAAACCTGGCTCTTCTGCAAGAGCAACAAATGCTCTTAAATGCCAAGCCATCTCTCCAGCCCTGAGTGGGAGGCTTTTGACCACCCTTCATTGTGTGTACTATCCTAACCATGGGATTTGAGAGGAGCATAACAGGGGGGCTGGGGTTACATCCCAGTGCAGAATACAAACCCTAAATTTGGCCGTTGACTTGATACTGTCCTCACAGACAACAGACAGCAAGAAAACAAACCTCTGACATTTACATCACTGTAGCCTGGCCCTGGCCCGTGTATGTATCACAGGCTACCCACAGTTCTCGGTGAGTCCAGACATGGCCTCTGGCTCCTTCTCACACTATGTTCTAGGCTCGTCTATTAAACAAATGAGATCTGACATATATGGCACACCCTCTTCTCCAGCAGTCAAGAGGAATCAAAACCATGAGCTCCCACACTTAAACTCTATCTGCATCATTGAATGCTTGAAATAAAATTGTGGTCCAGGAACAACTGGAGTTTGTGTGCCGTTGGTGGTGAGTGAATGTGTGTGTGTGTGTGTGTGTGTGTGTGTGTGTGTGTGTGTGTGTGTGTGTGTGTGTGTGTAGGGGGAAGGGGTGTATGAAGAAAGTCCAGCCTAGTGCAAGGGTGGGTGAGGCCATCTGAGTGTATAGTGAGTACAAACATTCAGACCAAAGCTCTATTTTCAAAGCCTTCCTGGGTCCAGGTGAGATGAAAGGACACAGACCGCCTATGGCAGTTCAAAGGCAGGCAGAGGGACTTGAATAGAGAAGCCATGGGTGTCTTGGCCTTGGGAAGCAGCTGCTCCTATTGTCCCCTCTGACATGACATTGAGGGGGAAACAGACAAGGTAGATTCTCCAGAGTTCTAGAGCCCTGCCTGAGATGTCCATCTCCAGTCTCTAGCAGCCTTGATTTTGAGACACAGAAGGACAGAGTGTACAATTAATGGGCTTTATGTCATGCTTCAAATGTTCAACACCACCATGTAGATGGAGCTGTTCTGGGAGCACCCTGAGAGTGATGGATCAGGCCTGAGGTCCTCTTCTTGGCTAGAACAACTGCAGTTTGGGGGTGTGCTTTAAATGGGAAAAGAATAAAGAATTCTTTCAAGGTATTCCTCTGCTGACGAAAAGCTGGGGAGCAATACCCAGTACCCAAGCAGGTCCAGTGACCCACAGAGAAACCAACCCCGGCTTCTGCAGATGAGAAGGGGCCAAGGTACCCCAACCTTCCTTCCTGGTTTGTTTTGGAGCCCTCCACCACCTCTCACACATGCCCTTTCTAGTCAGCTAGCAGAGCTGGAATGGTCTTACAGTTCAGTCCATTTATAAAAGAACAGTAGAGAAGCAAGAAGGAAAGAAATGAAACCCAAGAAGATGCTTTTTCTTTCTCTGGGTACCCATTGCAGAATGTTCTAGAAACTTCAGGCTGGAGGGCTCCCTGCTGAGGCCAGGCTGCCTCCTCATACACCTCACTTAGCTTCACACCCTCTTCTTTGTGCCACAGCCTCTGTCTGTTGGTCATGCTCCTTGACAAATGTCAATGAGCACCAACTGCCTGCCAGACACTGTCCTAGGTGCTGGGATGCAGAAAAAAACAGATGGACAAAAAGCCAAGACAAATGTACAAAAATAAAGCTCTAGAAGATAGTTGGTAGGTTCCATGAGAAGGTGGCCATGGGGGAGGAAAGGCACTGGGGCCAAAGTGGTGGACACAAGAAACATACCTCCTAAGGAGCATCGGGAACACAGAGGTCCTGTCCACACTGGACAGGACTTGGAAGTGCTATGTCTGGTCCTTGTCCTTTGTTTTGAAGAATTTAGGATGGCTATGGAGGTGGGTTAGAAGCAGAGTTGTCGGGGCAGAAGCCAACTCCTCCAGAAGATTGCTCTAGCATGGCATAGACAACCTAAAGCCGAGCCTCCCTGGTTTATTCAGTCTGTCTCCTGACTTCATGGATCCAAACATGACATTTACTGTTTTGCCGTCAAGTTCTAGTTTTCTTTCTGTTGCTGTCATAAAGACCATGACCAAAGGAACTTGGAGAAGAACGGGTTTATCGCTCTCACACTTCCACATCAGGCCATCGTGGAGGGGAGCCAGGGCAGAAACTGAAGCAGGAGCAGAGACCATGCAGGAAAGCTTTTCCCTGGCTCCTGCTAGTAGGGTTGCTCAGCTTGCTTTGTTATTACAGCTCAGGACCACCTGCCAGGGATGGCATCACCTGCAGTTGGCTAGCTCCCCCCGCCAGCTAATCATTAATCTAGACAATGTCCCCATCGACCTGCCTACAGGCCAGCTGATGGAGGTATTTTCTGGACTGAGGTTTCCTCTTCCCAGATGAGCCTACTTTGTGTCACATTGATGAAAATTAACCAGCACAAAGTATAAAACGAGAGCAGTTGCATGGCTTGTGGAGTCATCCTGACTTTCAGTTCAGAGTCCCAGAGTCTGTTACCCTGGACTTCGTTAAAGTTAGGAGTTTAATTAAGAAATATATGCTACTTCAGGAGCCTTCCAGGATGGGAGGATTCCTTGGATTTTGCCCCAAAAGGAGAGCTAGGGAGAGAGCTCGTTTGGTAAAGAGCTTCTGTGCAAGCATGAAGACATGAGTTCCATCCCCAGAGCCTATGATTCACAATCCAGGTGTAGCAGTGGCATGTGCCTGTAATCCTAAGGTTAGGGAGGTAGAGACAGGAGGGTCTCTACCGCCAACCAGCTTAGATATTTGGCAATCTTTGGGTCAGTGAGAAACTCTATATCAAAACCCATGCATATGTGAGTACACCCCCTTGCAGACCCAAGCACACACTCCAGACTGGTGTATAATATGGTCAAGACTTGGATTAGTCCATCGTGTGTTCAGATAATTCCACTGGGCCGGTCCAAAATGTCGAGGCTGCAGGAAAGCTGGTGCTGTGGGGATACAACATACACAAGACTATCAGGGCAAGGCTAGCATTAGGGATCCCACTAATGCTGGACAGCCCCTTCCCTGTCTATTCTCCCTAGATGAAATATGGTCAGTCTCTGAGCTAGGGGAAGGCAGGACCTGGCGCTCACTTGATCCCTTGTTCCCCTCTGCAGACCAGCAATGCCATCCTCATCATCTTTGTCAGCTACTTTGGCAGCCGGGTGAACCGCCCGCGGATGATCGGCATAGGAGGTCTCCTCCTGGCTGCGGGGGCTTTTGTCCTCACCCTCCCACACTTCCTGTCGGAACCCTATCAATATGCCTCAAGCACTGCCGGTGAGTAGCCCGGACTCCTGCCTTGAGGAGATGAGACAGGATGAGCATGGTACAGAGTTGACGTGGTGCCCCTGCGGTTAGGATTTCCACTCTGGGTCATGCTCCTTTCCTCTCCTGCTGGAGACCGTCCTTGGCTTTAGTAGTTCAGTTTCTCTCCAGACCACATCTGAGCTGTGGAATCTATTGAACCACACAGAAGTAGGAAGAGGCCCTGTGGTTGCAGGCCTCTCCCCATGATCCCTTGTGCTTTATGCCAGGGTCAATCCAAACATTACCTGCCTGGGACCAGAGCCCACAGAAGCCTGAAGGAAAAGTGTGGAACACTATGAAGTTTGGGGGTTTTCTTGATGTTTTGTGACTGTTGCACCCATTGACTTTACTTTAAATTACATAGCATTTGTATGGTACAGTCTTTGATGCTGGGACACTAGTGGGTTGCAGAGAAAAGTCATAAAATGAGGACTTATGTAACTTTTCCAGGGGAAATATGAACAAATGTCTGCTCACTCCACATAAGACACTATGACATCCCAAAGTGATGACTCTACTCAACTCTAGCTTGGTGAACCAATAAGTTTATTCAGGTTGCTTATGGGAGCATGGGAAGGGATTGCAGGAGCATAGGTGAGGAGTTACAGGAGCATGGGAAGGGATTATAATAGCATGGGGAGGGATTGCAGGGGCGTGGGGAGGAATTGCAGGGGCGTGGGGAGGGATTGCAGGGGCATGGGTAACTCTAAGGCCACCACATCACCGAAAGGCACACTCCATCGTGGGTGAAGACTCACAAGAGCTGTACCCTTAGAGCCCCCTGGACAACTGTAGGCAACTCTCCCAGAGGCTCCTCTTCCCCAGCAGCTGATTCCTGCTGTGTATGACCCTTGTGTATGACAAGATTTGTAAATCTTGTAACTCGATGAACTTCTGAGTCTTACTGGTTTCTACAGCTTTCTTAGTCTTAACAGTTTTGCTCTGCCTCAATCTTCCTAACGCTGCAATCTAGTTCCACGTGTTGTGGTGATTCCAACCATAAAATTATTTTTGTTGCTACTTCAGAACTGCAAATTTGCTACTGTTATTAATCATAATGTAAATACCTGATATGCAGGTGGCTTTAGGTGACCCCTATGAAAGGGTCATTCTACTCTCAAAGGGGTTGAGAACCACTCTTCTAACCTGAAGGGAATGTTTCAATTGGGAGGAAATGGCTACATAGTAGGTCTTGGCACTTGAAGAAATTCAACTGTCTCCTCATGGTCCAAGTAGCTAAGGAGAGAGACAGGGAGGCCTGTCTCCTGACCCTCGTCAAGAACAGGCTCTTTCTGTGACTTCTTTTTATACTGCGGTGCCTTGTGACAAGATGAAATAGACCAAGAATTTATGTGGTTAAGCATGGTATTAACCAGTAGTGAAGGATCTAGGGAAAGGCAACCTTTCCTTACATTTTATTTTTAGAATTCTTTTAATTAGCATATATTAATTATGCATGATAATAGGTTTCATTGTGACATTTCCATACATGTACATGATGTATTTTGATCATATTCACTTTCTTTCTCCCACGCCTGCTAATCCTTTTCCTTTTCTCAGCTAGCCCCCTCTTCTGTTTTCATGTCGGAGTGTGTGTGAGAGAGACAGAGTTTCACCAGGGTTGATTACCGGAGTGTAAGTGAGGATTTATTTATAAGAGTGCGGGTGCCTTACCATTGGCTTCGACGCTTGAAGAAAATGTTCCTCTCTGCCTATCAGCCCATCAACTAATTATAAATTGTCGTGGTTTTAAATTGCTGAGTTTGCAATTTTATACAAATTCTAGATAGCTCTTTGTTTGATGTGAGCTTTACAAAAATTTCCTCCCAATCTCAGGCTCACCATGCGTATTCTTTTAACAGAATGTACGCCACTTCCAGGACAACAACAACAACAAAAGAGGTTTTAATTTTGGCGAAATCCAGCTTTTCCTTATTTTTGCCCTTCAATGACTCATTTTTCTGGTACTGCATTCAAGAACCCTGCCTGATCCCAGGAGAGGGACATTTTCTATGCATTTCTCAGGGAGTTTCCATTGTTTTGTATTTATGTGTAGACTTAGGATCTGTTTTGAGTTAACCGTTTATCAGCACTCATGTTTTTTCTTTTGTATATGCATGTAATTTTTCCTAGCACATTTTGTTACAAAAACTGTCTTTTCACCATACTATAATTTTGTACCATTATAACAGATCAATTGTCTTGGGCTAAGGCTGCAGCTCAGTGGTAGAGAGCTTGCCCCAAATACACAAGACCCTGAGTTCTACCATTCGCACAGAGAAGAAAGTTGACCACACGTGTGGATTCCTCTCTGGACTTCTTTTCCCACCCACTAATCTGTGTGTCACCTTTGCCAGCACTGCACGTCCTCCCTCACCAGGGTTTTATTTAGTTTTGTTCTTTTTTTCTGTGGAAACTTTGAGATCTAGTTGTTTATATTCAAAAGAAAAATATCCTTCTAGAATTTTGACTGGGATTGCATTAAATTCATACATCAATTGGCATGCCTGTTATGTGTAATCCTCTAACTCTTTTTGAGTTTTTTGAGACATGGTTTCTCTGTGTAGTTCAGGCTGTCCTGGAACTCTCTTTGTAGATCAGGCCTGCCTCTGCCTCCTGAGTGCTGGGATTAAAGGCATGAGCCACCACCATCTGGCTAATCCTCTAACTCTTAAATAGTGTGGCTCACCATTGCCCCTGTGTTTAACATTGATTTATGACTGAACAAGCTCTAGGCTATTGAATGTCTTTATTCTTCAGAAGAACATAGTCCCTGGACACCTTAAAGCCCACTGGCCATCATTGCTGCCCAGTCTTACCTGTCTAATCTACCTACAGTGCTCAGTGCCTATTGATATTTACCTACAAGGTTATGGGTTTCTGTGTTAACTGTTTCTTGGGGGGCATTTCACCTACATTGTTGTTTCAATTTCCCCCTCTTCCTGAGATATCCTTTGTTGCTACTTAGATGAGCCCTTGGGTGATAAAAAAAAAACCCTGTCATAAAAGATTTGAATTTTACCCATGCTCGTATATTAGTTTAGTTATAAACTCTTTCAAATTAATAGTTATTCCTGCTCAGAACTTTGAAGACAACACACCCTTGTCTTTTGGGATTTCTCAATGGACCTTCCTCATCTGTCTAATTATCAACCTGGTTTTATTTAGGCATCCTGGTTTTATTCTCTGTAGTTACACTTAAAATTTCTCTTTTCTTTGTTGTTTTGCTACCAAAGTATGTTTACATATGGGTTAATCTGCGTCTGTTTGGGAATTCAGTTCTTTTTTATAAGACCAATATTTTTATTTAATTCTAAAAGTTTGTCAGCCAAAAATACTCCCGAGCTTTTTCATCCTTTCCCCCTGGAATTTTTATAGAAATACACACGTCAGTCATTTTCATTTCTGAACCCCTCATCTCTCAACTTCACTGTAGTTTCCAGTGCATTGTTCCTCCGTGCCACATGCTTTGTGGTTTCCTTTAAGTATGCCTTCCCATTCTGTGAGTCTCTCTCTAGCCTTTTAAATTGGAGTCAAACCCTTCCATTATGCAAAATTTTAAGAGCTCTCTCTATTTTGCTAATTTCTAAGAGTTATGATTTGTTTTCAAATTTCTCAGCCCTAATTTTGTGATGTCTTAATGCTTTTAACTGATATGTATAATATGATTCTTTGATATCAAGTATTTTCAATCTATTTGTTTATGTAGACTTTTTGAATTGTCCCACCAGCTCAAGCTTTAAGAATGTGACCCCTTCTGTTTTGTTGTGCCTGCTTGTTCATGTTCATTGTGAATCCTCCTTCTATGTGTTCTTTAATGTGACTGTGGAGTGGATTGTAACGGGGTCTTTTCTCCCCTGTGTAAACTATCTGTGGCAAGATCAGGAGTGAACCTGCAGTAGTATAGTGTCTACATCCCCATGTGGACTCAGCACCCCAGGGTCATCACTGCTTTGGAGGTTAGCTTGGGATGAATTTGTCCTTGTCCTTAGCACACAAGAAGTAGGATGGGGTGGTAGCTTCATGAACATGCTGAGCAATAACTGATTCGTGTTTGCTTGAATACCGGGCTCTTCTAAAGGAAGACTAAGTTCCAGCGGTGAATCACTTAGAATAGCAGAGGAAAATCCTCTATGGGTTGTGAGGCCTGTGCAGGAGACGGATAGTTGATTGGGATGGGGGTGGGGGATGAGGAGGATTAGGAACAGAGAGGTCTACTGGTGAAGTGTCTGCAAGGTTCTGATGCTGTCACTCTGTCCTCCAGGTGCTCTAGTCATTCTCATAGGCACATTGTCATCCTGAACTGTTTAAAGGCTGAGCCTTGCTCCAAGTGAACCAAGGATGAGGACAAACCCAATCCCATGGGTTCTGCCCTGTCCTTTCTCCTCTCTATCTAGACAGGGCATTGGAGATCAGCTCTGATGGAGAGTCAGGACTTGACCTTTCTGATGCATGAAGACAAGGCTAATGAGATCAGCAAGGGAGCCTGGAGCACCGGGGCCAAGCTGAGGAGAGGGCACTTTGCCAGACACCACACACCATGGCCTACTCAGTCAGGCTGGTCGGCTCCCCGAGGCCTGGGCCCACAGCCCATGGCATTTGCTTTGTACAGTGTAGCCACGGGAGGGAGGTTCGAGATGGCTTCACTTTGCTCCTTATTAGGGATGGCTATTTAGATTGAGTTGGGCTTTACCACAAAGCCCCCAGATCACAGGAAGTCGATAGCAGCCCAGTCTTAACCCCACTGCTCCTGGCCCAAATCACCACAGCTTGCCTGACAGGCCTGCAGTGTGCACAGGCTGCGGGAATGGGCTGTTTTGTGGTTATTGTCATTGCTCATCCTGTTTGTGCAAACTCTGATTGCAACAATAAAGTGGCACTGGCTTTGATGGGATTCAAGCAACAGCTGGAAGAGTTTGGGGATGGACTCCCTTCGGGGTATCTTCCTGCTGCCAGGCAACAAGATGAGG